TAATTTTGGCTTGGACCATCTAAGCTGACTGACATCAACTTGCTATAATTTCTGTTTACATTACATCGCAATTCGATGACACTCTGGCTCAGACACCAGAATATTTTGACGATTTTTAGCATTCGTTTAGGATTTTCAAACAACCTGGTCTCTTTTAAAATACTTTTAATTTGTTCTTACGTGGTTTTCCAGATGTAGTGACGACAACATTAAAGTTTTAAGAAGAAAATTCTAACATTTAAACCGACTAAACAATAACATAGTAAACTTGCATAATTAAACAGCAACTAAAAATGATAGGTTTTACTAAATCTTTTCCTGTGCAATTATTACTAGCATTGGAGACAAGGATAATAGTTTGTTTGAAAGAGAAAAAAACATGCTTTGAAGTAAGCCTAAAAGCGTTTAACTAGAAATAGTATTTCGAAAGTTATTAAGCACAAAAGATGAATTGCGTTTATTTTGATACACCCTGTATACGTGTACTAAATTACTCATAAGCTATTTTAATAAGTAAAAGAGATAATAACTTCTGGTGCTTCCAAATTAAGGAGAGGTGAAAGAGTTCCTTTTTGAAACACTTCACTGCCGGGGTCGAAATTTACGTTTGTTTCTACTTTACAACCGGAATAGGTATAGATTGCGAAATTCCATCTGAACAACCACTGTTCCCATATCACCCTGAGATGCTGTTCATAGCATCATTCCGTATAGCGTCTCTGCAGTAAAACCGACTGAGACCCTTCAACTGAATATCAAGAAACAAAAATAGCAAACACTTCTGTAATTGTTATCTGGGTTGTATTTTATACTTTAACTAATGTCGGTTTTTGACGACAGGTTGCATGGCTGCCACAAGTCTGTCATGTGGAAAGTAAAGATTATAATAACGTGTTTTGATACAATAAATTGATACCAACCACATTTATATTTTGACATTTTGTGCCATTATATACAAACGAGTATAGAGATCATGAAGTTTACTGTTCCGTCTGACATTTCACTATGTACGAAATAGCATACATTTCGACCCATGTAATGCAAAAAATGTGGATAATTAACATAGTATAACCATAAGGTTATGATAAATAATCATATGGGTCGTGCGCAGTTTCACGCTCTCAAGGGCATGCATGCATTGGACATCGAGAGTGACAAGTATAGGCTCATTGCTCATTAGCTATATCATCATCTATTCATTATTGTAATACCATGCAACAATTAATGTTGAAATATTTGCTGTAAGTGCTCAGCAAAGTTGTTGTGAAGATGTGGTCAATATATAACCAATAATTAAGACGCTGTTGATATTTAACAATTAGCTATATTCGCCGAAGGCGAGGTGATTGTCGGGGAATATTCGCCGAGACGAAGTCGAGGTGAATATTCCCCGATATAATCACCGAGCCTGAGGCGAATAATTGTTTTAGTATTTTTGTGTTTTTTGGGACTGAACTTATTTTAATTTAGCTTATTTCTTTATCAGTATAACTTCCACAAAACGGCTAGCCGCCATTTTGAAAATTTCGGTTTTGTTATATTCACCTGTAGGTGGATCGAATATAACAGCTTAATACGTCAAATTTGACCAATCAACTTGTATAGGATTTGTTATGTTCACTTGTCCAAAAATATACTAAAAATGTATACATGCAGCTATTTCAATTAAGGTTGTCCCCCAAGCAAAGCGGAAAAGTCGAATTCGAGCGCGAAAGGCAGCTGGGAATCGCTAATAAATTCATTCATTTATTAGCGATTCCCATGCAGCAGCCTTTCGCGCTCGTATTCGACTTTTCCGCATTGCTCGGGGGACAACCTTAATTGAAATAGCTGTATCCATTATATAAAGATAGACTAGAAAATACATGCATGCAGAAACCCTCGCCTTGCTGACAAAACCATTTTATTTTCCGAACGTGGAGTATTTTAAGTAGTTGTCATGGTAACACGATAATTTTTTAAGAAGATTTTTACAAATGAAAAATCCCCTATAAATATCACTTTTAATTACAAAATTATCAATTTCCTAAACATATATATGTTAGGTATGTTATTATACGTAATATAAGCTTGAATTTAAGGTAAAATTCAACCACAAACGCTTCGCAAAACGTTTTAAAATGTTCTTTTACTATAGAACTAAACTGCCTTTATCGATAAATTTTGAGTTCGAAATAAAATGATTCCAAATTCTCCCGTGCAAATAACTTTGCTTAGTATAATAAAAAGTGTAATCAATAAAGAAACACTGAAATAATACGCTGTCTTGTTTCATATTTATACACAACGATCGGCTTTTAAAGTAATTACAGTAGGTATGTTATTATACGTAATATAAGCTTCAATTTAAGGTAAAATTCAACCACAAACGCTTCGCAAAACGTTTGAAAGTGTTCTTCTAATATAGAACTAAACTGCCTTTATCGATAAACTTTGAGTTCGAAATAAAATGATTCCAAATTCTCCCATGTAAATAACTTTGCTCAGTATAATAAAAAGTGTAATCAATAAAGAAACACTGAAATAATACGCTGTCTTGTTTCATATTTTATATACGCAACGATCGGCTTTTAAAGTAATTACAGCCGAGATTACAGTATATTAAAAGCAAACAATGCATCAATATTTAAAACAAACTTACCTTCGTTAACGTCGGCACCTTTACTTCCTTCTTTTAGCAATCCTCTTGCCTTCATTTCATCAAAAATCCTTTGCAATTTACAAAATCTTGCAAAAATGAAATATATTTGTAAGAAATCATCAAATCAATTTCGCTGTCGTCAATCGTCATGCAGCCGTTATAATGCAAATTTTAAATTGGACCAATCAGTGTTGGCTATTCTTTACAGTCCGCTATATTATGAGATCAGTGAGGATGACCACCCACCGAAACACGCACAGTGACCCACGCCCGCGATATTTGATGAACTTTAGACTTCGCTAATGCTTGCCTTCCCCGGGTGTAAATAGCCGGGGGGAATTAGTACCCTCGCACGGCGCTTCGCGCCGTCGGCTCGGGGACAATACACGATTACGTGATGTTTATCATTATTAGGCCTACTACCGACATATGCAAAACAACACGTTCTTAACACATTTCCTATAAAGGCTTCTACAGCGCAGAAGCCCCCAATAAGTGGTTGTTTGCTAATGAAATTCTTCCTAGTTCCAGTCCTCTCTTGGGATAAGAGAGTGACCACATTAATTGGACTCAGGAACTGACAGCTTTTGGCCCTCGGTCAGGAATAAAACACGAGCCATGCATGCATGTACGTACAGTATGAGTGTATATACTCGAGGGGCATTTCACTCCAAAAATCCCGTACACTTCGTCAAAAAATCCGGAAAAAATCCGAACAAATCCGGAAAATCCAACAGATTTTCTCTTCAAAAATCCGCTAAAAATCCGGGAAAAATCCGCTAAATCCGCTAAAAAATCCGCGGATTTTTAAAATCCGAAAATCCCGTACGCTTCGTCAAAAAATCCGGAAAAAATCCGAACAAATCCGGAAAATCCAAACAAATCCGGAAAATCCAACAGATTTTCTCTTCAAAAATCCGCTAAAAAATCCGGGAAAATCCGCTAAAAAATCCGCGGATTTTTAAAAATCCGGAAATCCCGTACGCTTTTTTGGAGTGAAATGCCCCTCGTATATACTTATACAGTAAATATAAAGTTAGCATGTAACATAAAATTTCTTTACTTGAAATACTAGCCATGAAGAATACGACTGCATGAGTAATACAATACAATGCAATACAAACGACTGATAACGTCAACTAATTTAGATAAATTGTCGAAGGAAAATTCATCACCTGCAATTCATGAGGGAAATTATTTCGCGCCCACTCAAATTCCCGCTTTTTTATAGAAAATTTGCTAATTGCATGGTGGCGAGACAACAGTTACATGTATATAGTTTGCACATCTCAAATCTTCGTGTCGACCATTCACAAACTGGAGTGGAGTTGACTATATGAATAGCTGGGTTCATTAGAACTGAACAAACCAGTTTATCCAAGTTATGCTGTAGCACTATAGTTTAGAGACATCCGCTGTACGAATTCTAACTGAGCCGGAACATAATATTAAGTGATATTCCACTTTATATGATAATGTATGATAATGAAGACTTTATGAACCGCATTAAAAGATCCAGCACTTTCGCTTGAATATTGTTATCGCTGACAAACAAAACTTATAGTTACGAATCAGGTACATATAAAAATAGATCAATTATAATACTATGCTTGAAATGTTTAAGTCATTTAATACCTATATACGCACGTATACAGCCACACGTATATACACCCGCACGTATCTGTATCATATATAGAATAAAAGGCATTTTGAAAACTCACAAAATCATCATGCAACATAAGAAAACCATAAGGAAACAAGCTATACCGTATCTAGTATTGATATATAAGACTAGAAAAATTTAAAGATTGATTTACTCGCAATTTGACCCAAAATTTTATGATCTATTAAACATTACTTGCGATGGCTGTTTCCGATATAGATAGTATATTGCAACATTTCCTAGAGTTTATACACCCTATATATTATTATTGCATGACAGCAAAATATTGCGTAAGTGGTGATTGTATATATACTATATACAGTGCAGTAGGTATATAGATTAAAAAGTTATATATATATATATTTATAATATAGTCATCCACCGTATATGAGCTGTTCTGCAATCTGATTGGTTGAATTACTCGCCGTATATCAGCTCATATACGGCGAGTAGCGAAAAACAAGATGGCGGTCCAAAAACTACATGAGTTTTGCGAAGCAGAAAAAGGAAAATATTCGCTTTGAAAAACATAATAGTACAGGGAAAAACTCTCAAAAAAAATTTGACAGGTTAGCAATACATTTATTACGTAGAAATTAGTTTAAATAAAAATTTTTTAAAAAATTAATACCGAAACAACAGCGAAAAAACATGTTCATTGAGAATATAAATTGTTCAGAAAAGTTTGCCGATGAACGACAAATGAATTTGCAGTCAACAAGCACTTACTATAGTGCCAAACATCTGTATAATATATCTGAGCTTTCCTGTGAGATATAGAGATTCTAAAACCATTTCTTTCACTTCGTCTTCGAGTTGTAAAACAAAAGTATTTCAAATTTTCAAGCGGTTTTTGGCCGAAAAAATTGTCAACACATTGTAACAGTGAATAATTAATTACTGCTTCAGTTAATGGCTATATTAGACTATATTATAAAACAATTATACCATTCGCTCTCGTCGTATATGGCTGATAGCCGACTCGGTGCTACGCACCTCGTCGGCTATCAGCTCATATACGACGAGAGCGAATGGTATAATTGTTAAATATATATATATATATAGTGCATGTTATTGTTCACTCGGTATATATGATAAGGAGGACATTTAATCTCACCCAAGAACATTTTCATATATATATATATATATATATATATATATATATATATATATATATATATATATATATATATATATATATATATATATATATATATATATACGCCAAATGAATGTCTATCCATGTTGATGACTCAAGCTAGCAGCGTAAAAAACACTTTGGACAATTGAAGCGAGGGTCGTTCGTATATATATTTGCTTTTGTTCATGTTTTTGTTCATTGGATGGCAATCATGGCATGAAATCTTTACGCATAAAGAATTTTACAGTCTTTCGCAATCATGAACATTGAATAGAGACATGCATGCGGACAACGCATATTATATATACATAGATATATTACCTACATTGAATGAATCATCGGATTTCACTCAACTATAATTCGTCTTAATTTTAGTCATAGAACTGCCACTTCGATGCTTCGACTATAAGGTCACCGTGTCAGCAGCGAGTTCAAACACCACGGCAGCTCTATACTAGCTCTACTCATGGGTATTAAAACGTGAGGATCGTTATATTTATATATATTTAAATCCATAGGGGATCGTTATTTAGGCTATATATATATTTAAATCTTTGCACATGTGAATTACCATCGTGGCATATATATACCCACGCTGGCAAAGACAAAGCGGATTAATAGCTGCGCTGGGAAACTTTTCATATTAATTAAACAGTGCATTTGCCAAATGATTGACGAATAAGTTATAAGTGCGCTCAACTATATAATAATGAGTTCCTGACAACGGATTCAGTATTTCAATGTATTTTAAATTAAAAACATGTTCCCATGTCTATGGATATCAAAACATTCCGAACTTATACAGTTATATAGATAATTATACGAATCTTCTTCCCCCATATGCGAACACATCACATGATGTAATTCTATAATTATATTTTAAGAATCATCATCGACGGCCAAATATATTACAACACAGGCGACAAAGTTTAAGTTTTCATGTGCAATCGAAGCTACCAAGAACCAGAATGATAATTTACAATCCTATTTTGTTCGAATTTCACTAAAACCTTTGCCGTCTAAATTTGAAACAGATTTTTAATTTAAAATAGCTAAAACGATTCTAGACGATGTCTATTTACCTTTCGTCTGGGACTCCACGAGTCTTGTCTCTCATATATGTTTGTCCTTTTACATGCCGATTCCATATAATCTGTGTATGTATAATATCTAATATATATAGATATGAAGCTTGCGAATTGTGGTGTTCGATAAAGTGTGACTTGAATGATGGGGTCAAGCCAACTGTTTACTTGAGACTGACTATATTTGCCAAGTGCATGAATACATATTAAATTAAACGTCACATCAGGTCACGTAGGATGTTGGACATCCTGTCGACTAGGCTGAGTGCCATGTCTGCTAGCTCCTATAAATAATATATGGACAGTATAATAAGCTATAGGCGCGCCAATATATACATATATATAGTAAGTAACCAAAGTTCTTAATAATTTTAGGTCGTGACAGCGGCCTGAATTGGCGATTTTCCCTTTCGTGTTCACCCACGAAGCATGCATGATGCACCGCACGAATTAATTCGTAGAATTCGTGACGAATTCGCGCTTGGACTGCGTTGCGGTTTCGGCACAGACGCCATCCAATCCTGCTGTAATGTAAACAGACTGAATCAGGAACTTTTAATGCAAGCTTAAGCACGGACACTAGCTAAATTAGATCGAATTTGATCGCGCGTTTCTGTTGTCGGCATGAATCATCTCTTTTGAGTTTTGCCGACATGGTAAGCGAAGCAGTAAGGAAGAAATCACTTCGCGCGAACTAACTATGGTATGGTGTGAAACTGGCTTGCGGGAATACGGTGGTTACACAACCGGATTCTTTAGAACACCCCAATATCAAGAAGGCCCGGTTGTATAGTGTATCCACCGTGGATGAATTTTCAAGCCCTCTAAAATTATTCGTTTATCTTTGAACCAAGATTAAACGAATCCGTAGTTTTATAGCTTTTCAGTATTTTCTATACAACTGTCCCAGATTGGTCGAAACCTGTGTTTGGATCAGGCCTTCCAGACACGGAAATTTAAAGTGAAAGTTTTTTTAAAGTGAAATTTTAACACGGAAAGTTGTTAGGCTATTTTATAAAACAATTAGTTTATGGTTTCCGCGTTTGAATGGCCTGATCCAAACACTTGGGAATGTTGCTCGAGTTAAGAAAAGCGCGCAAAATTACTCGCCTTCGGCTGGTGTTTCGCAAGCTTTTCTTAACTCTCGCAACATTTCCGCGTGTTTGGATCAGGCCATCCAAACACGGAAACCATAAACTGTATAATTGTATAATGTGGATAATGAATTTTCAAACTTTTTAAAATTATTCGTTTATTTGAACCAAGATTAATTAAAACGTTAGTATTTGAACGTTGTTTTTTTTAAATAATTCAATAATATCCGTAGTTTTAATAATAATATGTATTACCTCCACAAAGTTTCGTTGAGCGACGAACAAACCGGGCATCGACTTCCGCAAAATCCTTACTAATTCCTTTGCCTCTCGAGCCAGTAAAGACGAAGGACGTTGAGAACGTCTATAATATAATCATATAAAAATGCATAAAACTTTATTAAATGGATATAGTATATATAGAGGGGGGCAAGGGTATTTTCGTGACTCGTGATTAGCAATTATTCGTGCTTCGTGATTCGTGATTTAAAGAAATGCCATTTCGTGAATCGTGATTAATATGCGTGCCGTGAATCGCGAAGAGCTAAACGGCTAGCTAGGGTCTTGAATTTACCAATATTTTACCCTAACTTGTGAATGTTTACGTTTAAAACTCGGCCCAAATTTAATATTATGGGGAAAAAATGAATAAATTTGCTTCCCGCGGTTGTTTTTCTTGAGGTTTCCTCGTTTCATCGATAAATGTTGTTATCGTATACCTTTGTACCTCTTCGTAAACATCGTGAACCATCGTACGACGCTCGTAATGTTTCGTAATGCCTCGCAATGATTTCCATAGTCCTTTAAACGGCTCTAATGTTAAAGTCAGTATGTGTTAAATGGTTTCAGACTTTGTTACGCGCTTCTGTGCTTCTATAAAAAATCGTGAAAATGAAATTTTGTTTTTCGTGATTCGTGAAATTGAAAAATGATCTTCGTGATTTCGTTTCCCCCCCCCTCCCCTATATATATATATATATATATATATATATATATATATATATATATATATATATATATATATATATATATATATATATATCGAAGAGCTAAACGGCTAGCTAGGGTCTTGAATTTACCAATATTTTACCCTAACTTGTGAATGTTTACGTTTAAAACTCGGCCCAAATTTAATATTATGGGGAAAAAATAAATAAATTTGCTTCCCGCGGTTGTTTTTCTTGAGGTTTCCTCGTTTCATCGATAAATGTTGTTATCGTATACCTTTGTACCTCTTCGTAAACATCGTGAACCATCGTACGACGCTCGTAATGTTTCGTAATGCCTCGCAATGATTTTCATAGTCCTTTAAACGGCTCTAATGTTAAAGTCAGTATGTGTTAAATGGTTTCAGACTTTGTTACGCGCTTCTGTGCTTCTATAAAAAAACGTGAAAATGAAATTTTGTTTTTCGTGATTCGTGAAATTGAAAAATGATCTTCGTGATTTCGTTCCCCCTTTCCCCCCCCTCCCCCCTCCCCTATATATATATATATATATATATATATATATATATATATATATATATATATATATATATATATATATATATATATATATATACATATATATATATATATATATAAAGTTAAATCACAGCTGATAATATATACAAATAACAAAGATAACATAACGACAGTACAATGTTTAAACAGCTATAACAGTTCTGGATTCAGTATTCCTTGTTTCGACAACAAAATATATAATACATTGTTCGGATTGCAATCGTCATCGTCACCTTTCACACAGTAAATGTGACTCTCTCCTCCGCAGAGGTCCAAGATCCGCCATGTAAAGTGTAGTGAAATGTATATCATCGTAATATTAAATCCTAAGAAAACTAAAGCCTCTGCAGAGGAGAGAGAATTCTGATTATGTTTTCCAAAACCAAGATCATTTCATTTCAATACTATAATAGTATATACGTATAATAATAATCAAAAACCGAATGTGGGCAAGTGCAGGGATAGTACTGATATATAAGCCCGGTATACGGATACATACAGTATTCTGATCAGACAATTAAGTTGTAGGTGCGGGCAATAGTATATTTACGTTGCTATAGCAGTTCTTAGACTATGCGACATAATGGGCGGAAAAGTTTTAGCAATGTCCGCATTTACACTAGGCGTGGAACTTCTTCCTTGGTAATGGATAGAAAATATGAAAATGACTGGACATATAGTTGACATTTATATGTAGAAAGTAAACACATTATTATAGAAGTTGCGCGATGGCATGTTCTTCATTGAACATGCCAGATATACTTATCAGTTTGAATATTAATTCAAAGCTAACATAATACAAGATGTTAAAATGATTGTCTTAGCTTCCTACAGACGTGGGATCATTTATTTCCGTTTACGTCAATGTGTAGTTAATTTATTAAACCTCCTTTGAAATGTATTCTGAAAATAGCTTGTCCCCAAAGTGATTTATATAACATCACTGGAAGCAGTAACATCGCTGAATATTTCATTACAGAAACATGGTTGAACGATAATATCGACGACGCAGCTGTTCATATACCGAACTTTTCAGTGGCTAGACGTGTATGGCGTGCCAAGATGGACAATATTACTTTACGTCCATTTATATAATGTATATTTCAAATATATAAATTCAAATTTATTTTTGTAAGCCGGAATTGCCATATATAAAACGAAACAGAAATATATACAACGAAACAGAAATATATACAACGAAACAGAAATATATAAAATGAAACACTCATATATAAATCGAAACACCCATATATAAAACGACATTAGTATATATATATAAAACGAAATATTCCAAAATATATGAAACGAATTTTCCCAAATATATGAAACGAAATTCGTCAAATATATAAAACGAAATTCCTCAAATATATAAAACGACATTTTACTAAAATAAAACGACATTTTTGGCGGAGAAAGAGCGCGACTAATTTATCCGGAGTAAATTTTCTGTAAACCGCGCTTATGCAAATATGGCGGGCAACAGAAATCTGCAAAGTTTATCAAATCTTGTGAAAGCAATTTCTCGATTGAGTCAAAATAGCACAGAGACCCGTAATAGTGGGGAGACGCAAGAAACTACAGACGACGTGGAAGCAACGATACGAACGCTCTTTCCTTGAACGAATGGTCAGACAGAAGCAAACCGAAATGAAATTCGTGTGGTCGCGGAACATGAGGCGCTGAACACACCTGATCGTCGGTACCCCGAAAACGCAGAAAGATTCGTGCCTAATCGCAAATATGGTATCAAGAAACGGCCTGCTGGCTACTGGCTAGTCTGGCTACTGTCAAGCTACGTTGAGCAACAACAAAAATATGCTCATATAACCTGCAACACCCAGATTTCATCAGGCCCCAGCAGTGTGTGAGAGAAAACATTTTTAAACATTTTCCGCTTCTTTCGTGCCTCAGCTAGCGGAAAATAACACTTCTCAAACACCGCTGGGAGCTGCTGCAGCGTCAGCCGCAACCATACAACGTATAGAATTAATTTATACAGTTTACGATCTGGTGGTGCTACAACTGCAGCTGCTCTGGGTATTGCAGACCGCCTGCTACAGAGGCAAGGAGGGTGGCGTACTGCGAAGGCAAAGAACAATTACATTGATGAGTCAAAAAACTCTTTACTTCATCTTACAAAAATATTTAAATGCAGAAGTATTAACTTTTAATTGCGGCTGACGCTGCAGCAACTCCGAGCGGTGTTTGAGAAGTGTTATTTTCCGCTGGCTGAGGCACGAAAGAAGCGGAAAATGTTTTCTCACACACGGCTGGGGGCCTGATGAAATCAGGGTTTTGCAGGTTATATGAGCATATTTTTGTTGTTGCTCAACGTAGCTTTACAGTAGGCGGCCTTTTCTTGATACCATATTTGCGATTAGGCACGAATCTTTCTGCGTTTTCGGGGTACCGACGATCAGGTGTCAGGTATTCAGCGCCTCATGTTCCGCGACCACACGAATTTCATTTCGGTTCGCTTCTGTCTGACCATTCGTTCAAGGAAAGAGCGTTCGTATCGTTGCTTCCACGTCGTCTTTAGTTTCTTGCGTCTCCCCACTATTACGGATCTCTGTGCTATTTTGACTCAATCAAGAAATTACTTTCACAAGATTTGATAAACTTTGCAGATTTCTGTTGCCCGCCATATTTGCATAAGCGCGGTTTACAGAAAATTTACTCCAGATAAATTAGTCGCGCTCTTTCTCCGCCAAAAATATCGTTTTATTTTAGTAAAATGTCGTTTTATATGTTTGAGGAATTTCGTTTTATATATTTGACGAATTTCGTTTTATATATTTGGGAAAATTCGTTTCATATATTTTGGAATATTTCGTTATATATATATATATATATATATATACTAATGTCGTTTTATATATGGGTGTTTCGATTTATATACGAGTGTTTCATTTTATATATTTCTGTTTCGTTGTATATATTTCTGTTTCGTTTTATATATGGCAATTTCGGCTTACAAAAATAGATTTGAAATTATATATTTGAAATATACATTATATAAATGGACGTAAAGTAATATTGTCCATCTTGGCACGCCATAGACGTGACAGGGTTTCAAGGACTGGTGGAGGGGTTTGCGCTTTTGTTAAATCGTACATCCCTTTTAAAGTACTAACCGAGTTACATGATGACAATTTTGAGACACTTTGGTTACATATCCGACCACATAAACTATTTCGAGGATTTTCGTGTCTGATCGTTTGCGTAGCTTATAACCCGCCAAGTATAGGGACAATAAAGCGTTTATCGATCATCTAATTGCAAAACTTGACCTTGCACTCGTCATATGTACTGTCAAACGCTCCTTCTCGTGTTTTAAATACTACATCCAAATGCAGGCATTTTTCTCGTGGGCGATTTCAACAGGTGCCCGATTTCATCCCTGCTTAGACATTTTTCTCTAAAGCAAATTGTCAAGGCCCCCACAGAAACGAAGCTACGTCGGATTTGATCTTAACAAATATGAGTGATGTTTGTTCCCCAGTCAGTATTATATTGCACCACTTGGTCGTATAGTGACCATGCATAACTCTGTATTATTTTCCCTACAAAAGATTAACAGACAGAACCAGCATAATAAAGTAATTACTCGTCAAGGAAACGTGAGTGCAATTAAACGTGCTTTCAATGAATGGCTAACGAAAGTTAATTGGTTGAGTTTGTATCAAACTGTGTCATGTGAAACGAAAGTAAATATGTTCCATGTCATTGAATCCGGTGTCCCAAGATTTTCGCCCCCCCCCCTACATTTTCGCCCCCCGGGGGGCAAAATTCGTAGGAATATTGCCCCCCCCCCTCAGGGGGGCGAAAATCCTAGGAATTTCGCCCCCCTTTAGGAAAT